CTCTTACTCTCTCACTTACTTTACTCCTCTGTATCCTGTCTTTATTCTAACTCATCACTATATTACTGTTACTCTGTTACTGGTACCTCTTGTTCTCTATAGACTATCAACCAGAGGAGAGAAGGTGGCACTCCACAGTAAAGGTAGGAGACTACCTATATATGTGGGGTGGGTACGAGTATAGAATACACTATGATGTGATGGAGGTGTATCACTTACCAACTGGTGCTTGGGACCAGAAACCTACTACTGGTACCCCACCACCAGGTACCTGGGGCTATTCATCTGTCGCCATAGGAAAGGACATATATTATTTTGGTGGGCGTGAAGCTGATGATCAAAACAGCTTACATTCCTTTGATGTGGATTCATTTAAGTGGAAGGAATTCTCTCCTTCTAGTTGTGATCATGGTCCAATGAAAAAGGGCTTATGTGAGATGGTATCAGTTAATTTTGACGGTGAAGACTATCTTATAATAATTGGAGGCTATGGATCATCTTCTATCAATCCTCCAAAGCAACCTGATGCTCAGTATTCAGGTGATGGTAGATGTAATGAGATACATTATTACAGGGTTTCATCAGGTCAGTAATTCTCATCATTGATACACAATAGTTGATCAGTATTTCAAACTGAATAATTTATATTAATGTACATAAAACAGATTGTTAATAATTAAGTGTGTTTGTTAGTGTGTCTCTGTGTGTCATGTGTTTGTGTGTGATGGTGACGTGTGTCTATATGTGACGTGTGTCTATATGTGACGTGTGTGTGTGTGTGTACTAATACATACATTATGATGTGTCTGTGTATGATAGTGCATATAATGTATGTGAGAATTTATGAATGTATGACGTGTGTATGTGACATGTATCTATAATGTGCATGTTATGTGTGTGTGAGTATTATCATGTATCTGTGTGTGTGATATTTGTATGTGTACATGTATCTATACATAAGCTAATGTGACATGAGTGTGTGTGTGTAGGTTCATGTTATTTATTATCATTTTTAATGAAGTTCTGTATCACACGAGTCACAAATCACCTACATACAATGTTCCATGAGTTTTGTATAATTATTCATTAACAATCATAACTGACATTTACCAGAATAGATTAGTAATCTTCAAATAAGTAGACCCCCTGGATCTCTCCTTCGTGTGTGTGTGTGTGTGTGTGTATCATGTGATAGTGATAGTGATGTGTGTTTATGCATGATATGTATGCATAAATAATAATGTACACACATATACACATACATATGTATGATGAATGTGTATAATGTATGTGTGTGTATGTGGTAAGTAAGTGTACATGAATGTTTGTACATTACTATTAGATCAATGGATATCTCCTGTTGTTACTGGAGACAGACCACCTCCTATTAAATCCTTCACTCTAACACCAGTTACTAATAACACCGCAATAATGTTTGGAGGCTATACTGATAATGGATGGAGTAATAAACTGTATATGATAAGTTTCACTAAGACATCAGTGGTGAGTTAATACTGTGGGATTGGTTTTGATTGTGAGATTCTTTTGATTATAAATTGTGGTTTTTAATTAAATTTCAATTGAAATGATTGTAATTTGTCAAATGCAATTGTAATAACTATTATTGAACTTAGTAATTATTATGTATTATGTTTTGGGGGTGTGACAGGGTGTGGTTGACTAGAGTATGGTTCTAACTATTGTGACTTGTGGTGTGTGTGTTCCATAATCTTTATCATTATCAATCGGATTACAAACGGTCCTTTTAATATTATTATTGGTACAGAGAACCAGTATTACATTTG